TCAGTCCTGCCCATCCCAAAAGGAGCAGCTTCCCCTGGGTCCCAGCCCCATACCCCGGGGAGCGTGTTGAACACCCCAGGGAGGTGTTTCGGCAGCAGCACATCCGAGGGGTCTCTGGGATGTCGGTGCAGGGCTGCTACAGAGCTGTCAGTGCCAGAAGGTGGGGAGTGCTGTGCTTCCTCAGGCTGTTTGTCCAAACAGCCCCGTGTCCTGTTGTCAGCTGTGGTCGATGCCACAGGGGTCAGGATGTGCAGAAAAGCACCCTCAAAATTTGGGGTAAGCTGGGCAGCTGGGGAGCATGTCCTCGGTCCTCTCCAGGCTGATGCAATGAGCGAGCTGCCGAGGCCACCAGCTGAGCTTGGCTCCTGCTCAGCCTGGACGTGTCCTTACTGGGAATATTCTCCTTATCAGCAAAACTGCTCAGTGCAATACTGGCACGAACACCTACGGCATTTAAGGACAGGCTGGTGAATACCTGTTGCAGTTCTTTGTGCCACAGCAGTTCCTGGAAGGCAGCTCTGTGCTGAGCGCGGTGTTGTAAATAAGACACAAAGGTGGGACAGAGCTTGAAGGAGTTTGGTATCTGCCTTAAAGACAGGGGCGTAGGGCTGGGGCCAGTGTGCTGTGTGACTGGGTCCCTGTGTCTCCTGTTCTTGTCAGAGTTTTCTTCAGAAAACAGCCAATATTTTGTGGGAAATTAATAAGATTTGTGGTATTGGAAGTGTGACCATGTCAGGAGGACAAGGTGCTCAGGCGGGTGCCAGTCAGTGGGGCCCAGTGCTGACAGTCTGCGTCCAGAGAGCCCCTGGGTGTGTTCAGGTTCAGGTTTCCCAGAGGCGACAGGGAATCACACACCAGCTTTTGCTTGTGAGCTGCGGTTGGAGTCTGATACCTGGTTTTAAACTGAAGTAACATGGATGGAGAGGAAGGCTGATGTTGCTGTCTGGGATTCGGAAATGCCGAATAGCAAAACACACCTTCCTATTCTTGCATTTCCCACCCGTGTCTCACAGTCCTACAGTGACAGCTCCCAGCTGAGAACCAGAATACAATTAAGGAGCAAACAAAATTTGTTTTCCTGACACTTCAGTGGGGAAAGCCTCCCCCAGCATTTGCCTTTGTCTGGGTGCAGCTGCATCCCTCCAGCCCTCGGTGAGCTCGCCGGCCAGCATGAATCCCAGCTCGGTTTGACCTCTCCCGTGACATTTCCTTATTGATTTCCCTCCATCCCTCAGAAGCATCAGCCTCAGTCAATTGCAGTTCAGCAGATGTGTGAGTCGAAATTGAGACAGTTCATCAAAGTTCAAAATGAAAAGCAACATTGGCTTTTGGAGGCAAATCCTCCAACGGAAACGTTAATAACTGTCAATATTTAATAAAAATGCAGAAGATAGCACTGCACGTCCAGTCATGTTTATTTAGATAGATGCAGTGTGCTGCTCGGGGCCAGCTTTCACTTCTGTACTTCTCTTATTAAATTCTGTTTGCCCATTTTTATTTGAGGCTCCTGCAGTCTGTGACATTGTGCCTGTAACCTCCAGTCACGTCACTGCCCTAAGAGGGAACCTCGGCTTCCATGAAGGAATGCAAAGAAAATACGGGATCCGTGGAGCAGCTGCAATGCTGACAAAAAGTCATCCTGTCCTGAAAAACCCATGGGAAAGTGAGGAAAAACTCAGATGTGGTTCTAAAACCAAACCCCCCACCTGTGCTGGGGCAGGTGCTGCCGTCCATGGCCCGAGACAGCTGCGTTTTGGGGAAGCCCCAGTGAAGAAGCCCCGGTTGGATTTGGCATCGCTGCTGACAGCCGAGCACGTGGTGGGACGGGCACCCGTCTCCCCAGGGAGCAGGATCACCCCGGGCCCTGCAGCCCTTCTCGGCCATCGCAGGGTTTTCTCTGGGGTGCGTCCCTGCGGAGCGGAGCGGGTGCTGATGGTGGCTGAGGGGAGGGAGGGCTGGCAGAGGGACCCGGCGTGGGGATGGCAGCTCCTGCCCAGTGTCAGAGGAAAATAGGTTTGTTGTGTAACAGAGAATTAGTGCTCAGAAATCCTTTCCGTTAGCTCAGCAGCCCAGATCTGCTTCTGCAGCAGGAGCAGAGCCCAAAGCCACGCAAAAGCCTTCAGCCAGGGAGCAAAAATAGCTCCCCCGAGCCTACCAGCCCTGGGACAGCAGGCAGGGAGACTGGCGCAGGGAAAATACCTGAGTTCATCTCTGAGCTGCTCTGAATTGTAAAACGTCGATGACTCCAGGCTGGATCCTGCCCTCTGTCCCTGCGCTCAGGTTCCTTGGCATGGAGGAGCTGCTGCACGGGACCCCCTGCTCTCCCACTGGGCTGGGGCTGATGCTCCAACCCTGTCCCAGCCCCTTCCAGGGCATCGCTGCATCCCGCGCTCCTCTGCGGAGCCAGCTGCCCTGTGGCAGGACCCAGGGGACGGGAATTGCTGGAGGATGGAGCAGCAGGGCGCTGGCAGGGCACAGGGCAGGTGTGACACTCTTGCAGCCGTGTCAGGGGATGCGGTACCTGGCGTCAGAGAGCTGTCCCCAGCTCTTCACACCACACACATCTCACCTTTGCCGACTTGGTGCTGCCTCAGCTCTTGGGTTCATTCTCTGAGGCTGTTCCTGTTTGATAGCTGATCTGCAATTTAACATTTTCTACTTCTACAGTATCAGCAACAATTTCCTCCTCGCAGCTCCAGCCTTGCCATGAGCTCATGTACACGCCTCCGTGATGGAAACAATGCAGCCGTTAAACCCAGCCTGACGATGCCGGCCGACCTGGTGTGAGCAAACCTGTAATGATTACAGCGAAGATCCGTCGTGACGTTCAGCCGCTCTCCACAGACTGCCTCAGATCTTTATTTTCTCTTGTTGCTGTCGCTTTTCTTATTTAAAAAACCTGCCGTCTCATCAGATTTCCTGCTGGTGATTAAAGGAGCCGGCGCTGGGTCCTGCTGTGGGCGATGCCATTTCTGATTTGTAGAGAGATCATTTATACTGGCACTTCAGGCGTTTTTTCCCCCGTACTCGGGAGCTGAGGCGTTGGTAGTGCAGGGCTTAGCGAGGGGACGGTGCCCATCTCAGTGTGGCATTGCGCAGGGCGCACTGTCCCCGGTGTGTGGGGTGGCCAGGTCAGCTGCTGGCACATCCCCTGCTCCAGCCACCGGTGGGTCGGAGCCAGCAGCCGCCGTGGCACAGGGTTTGTCACGGAGCCGCAGAGCTGGGGACGAGGATCGGACAAACACGGATGGGAACTGGATTTTTCCCCAGCAGAGAAGTGAAGCGGTGTGAGCTTCTCCCCATCACCCAGCAGTGTCCTTTGGTGCTGCGCTGGAGAGCTGAGGGGGCTGGATGCGCAGCCCTGCATCAGCAGCATCTCTCTTGGTGGTTTTTTAAAGCCATACTTTCTCAGCTGATGTTACTTTGAAATCAAATTTGTAAATACATTTAATTTGGAACTTCATCGGTCTCCTTCAAACTGTTCAAACTGTGATTTACTCGAAGACTGATCAGATTAAATCTGAGGGTTGCGGTGGCTATAAAATATTTACATTGACTTTCAGTTATGCTGCACATTGATTTCTAGAGAGCAGAAGTGACATGGAAGGCTCTAAATCTTCTGGGCTGCTGTGGTGCAGTTGATAGATTGGTCTCCGCTGATCCTTCTTGCTTATTGCACGCATTAAAAACAAAGGAGCTTCCACAGTGCCAAGTCAAGTCCTTGAAACAGGAGCATTTGTCCAGTTTCGGGAGTGTTTGCCCAGCCTGCTGCGGTGACGTCCCGCAGGGATGCGGGTGCCTCGGCTCAGCAGAGTGGGCGGCAGCTCCGGGGCTGGGGGTGTTTGGGTGGTGGCTGCCCCGGGACACCGGCTCGGTGCCATCTGTGGGTCTCCACAGCCAAACCGGAGCCTCCTTTGCTGTGGTCAGTCTGGCTCCGGGGATACCAGCTCCCCTCCCAGGAGCGTCCTGTGGTGCCGGGACAGGGCGGCAGGTCCCTGGCCTGGGGACAGGGAGCTCCTGCCTCGGCTGATGCCAGGGCTTGTCTTTTCCTCTTCTGCAGTTTTTGAAGAGCCTGAAGATCCAAGTAACCGGTCATTTTTTTCTGAGATCATCTCCTCAATCTCCGATGTCAAATTCAGCCACAGCGGGAGGTATATCATGACCCGGGACTATCTCACTGTCAAGGTCTGGGACCTGAACATGGAGAACCGGCCCATTGAGACCTACCAGGTGAGCATGGCACAGCCGGGCACTCGCAGCAGTCAGTGCTCCTGCCCGAGCTGCTGGCCCGGGCTGGTGGCAGAGGGGATGGGACAAACCTGATTGATGGGAGTGTCGTGCCATTAAATCACAGCCAAGCTAAGAGCTGTTAAATGTGGGCTTGAGTGGCCTGTTGGATTGTAACCATGTCCCCAGGGTGGGTGTGGGTGAGGAGGAGATCTCAGGTGCTGGCAGCCCCGAGGGGATTTTTTAATCAGGAAAAATTTCTTCACTGAAAGGGTTCTCCGGCACTGGAACGGGTTGCCCAGGGAAGTGGTTGAGTCCCCATCCCTGGAGGGATTTAACAGACGGGCAGATGAGGTGCTCAGAGATCTGGTTTAGTAGTGGACAGGTACGGTTGGACTCAATGATCTCAAGGATCTTTTCCAACCAAGTGATTCTATGTGGGAGGTGAGTGTCAGGGCAGAGCGTCCGTCCCTGCCACCCTCTGCAGGGGGACAGGCCCTGGCACTGCCCGGTGCTGGCGCTGCTTCTTGCAGTGGAAAGGTGCCGAGGTCTAATGGGCCATGCCCGATGCTGCCCAGCTGGGCTGGGCCGGGTCCCTCAGCCCCTGCCGAGGGCTGGGCTGGCGTTTGCCAGACTCTGGGCTGTGCCGGCCGGTGCGGTGGCCTCACGCCCCATCCCTCTCTGCTGACAGGTTCACGACTACCTGCGGAGCAAGCTCTGCTCGCTCTACGAGAACGACTGCATCTTCGACAAGTTCGAGTGCGTCTGGAACGGGTCCGACAGGTGAGGGGGGCTGGGAGAGTTTCCCCGTGGGATCACCTAAACCCCCAGCCCCGTACCCAAGCACTGCTGGGGGTGTCTGATGGGGTCCCCGCTCTCTCCTGAATGGGTTTGGCTCCCGTCTCCATCTCACCCACACCCAGAGGAGGGTGGTGATGCGTTTGGCTCCGGATTGCCAAGGTCTGGGGATGACAACTATCCACCCATAAATCACCCCGAACCAGGTGGCAGAAAGCATGCGAGGCCAGCAGAGCGGGCAGGGTGCCACATTTTTTTTCTCTGAACCATCAGAGCGCGTAAAAGAGGCACAGCTGGGTCTGAAGCCCAAATTCCAATCCTCGTTATGCCTCTGGACATTGGGTCTGCCTCTAGTCACGAGGCAGTTTGCCTCTAAAAGGGTGTGAAAAATCATTCGGTTCGGGTCAGCTGAATCTTTGCCATAAAGACTGAGCTCTGTACACATTGTTATCCCCAAAGGCATTGCCTCCCCCATGCACATTCCCCGGGTTAAGGAGAAGGACATGGGATGTGGCTGCACTGAGCCAGAGCTTTTCGGTGCAGGACGGGGCACGAGCTGCCCGGTGTCCCGGTTGTGCCCGTGGGGCCCGTGCTGGGCATGTCTTGGCGATCGCAGCTGGGTGGGTGGTGGGGCTGGGACACGTGTGGTGACCCATCTTCCCTCCCTCCTCACAGCGTCATCATGACCGGCTCCTACAACTTCTTCCGCATGTTTGACCGCAACACCAAGCGCGACGTGACGCTGGAGGCCTCGCGGGAGAACAGCAAACCCCGTGCCATCCTCAAGCCCCGCAAGGTCTGCGTGGGCGGCAAGCGGAGGAAAGACGAAATTAGCGTGGACAGTCTGGACTTTAGCAAAAAGATCCTGCATACAGCTTGGCACCCCTCCGAGAATATCATTGCCGTGGCAGCAACAAATAACCTGTATATATTCCAGGACAAGGTTAACTAGGAGGACAAGTTGTGCTTTAGGAATCTCATGTACTGAATACTAGTAAACACAAGATTTCAGATGTTTCTTTTCTTTCTTTCTTTTTTGTTTTTTTCCTTTTCCCTCCTGTTCTTTGTTCAGTTACTGCTCCGCAGGTAGCGGCTGTGCGGAGGCAGCGCTGCTGCACCCCGGGGCGGGGG